TTTCTTAATTGGTATATCATTTATAATATAGAATTTATTTGTTCAATCATTAAATTATTTTTAATTAAGAATATATTTATTTAATCATTATATTATTTAAAATATAGAATTTATATATCGAATTATTATATTATTAGTAATTTAGAATATATTTACTTAATTATTATAATATTTACAACTTAGAAAATATTTACTTAAATTATTATCTTATTTATAATTTAGAATCTATATACTTCATTATTATATTATTTCCGTTATTTCGTATGATATATATAAATACAGTCACAATAGTAACTAAAATTCTAGTAGCTCAGTTGGTCAAAGTGTCTTTTTGCAACCCAAAGGTTATGGGTTCGATTCCTGCCATTGTTTTTAATTCAACATATTAGTTGTAAGGGTAAAATGGTAAAATCAATGATAAAGTAAGGGTATAATGGTAAAATTAGCAAAAAAGTAACGCCGTCAGTATTAAAATAACACCGTTAACATTAAATGGCGAGTGTGCATGAAAACATTAAATACGGGGGGGTTTGACGCAATTTTTAAAATATAACGGAAAAACGCGCAAATTTCGTATAATACAGGGGGATTTGGTGCAATAAACCCCTTAATAAAAGCCTCAACCCTATACCAGTATTCCTCAGTTGGTGGCCCAACTTTCTTTTTCCCTCTGTTTTTTGTTTTCCTTTTCTCACCCTCTGCCCCCTCAATACCAAATACTAAATCAGTCAACATCATCATCATATTCTTCACCTCCATTAAAGTACCCCTTATATTTGTTGTCCTCCTCTGCTAGGCTATCAAATGCCAACTTCAACTCATATGCTGTTTCCAGCATTATAAAGGTAGAATTCCACCTTGTTTGCACATCTAATACACAAACCTTTTTGTTATCCAACTCTTCTTTTTTTACACATGCTTTAAATTCTTGAAGTCTAACAGGTGAACTTCTAATATACTTTACTGCATTCCTAATAAAAGCCACATAATTATCCATACAATTCAATTCAGATTTAACAATGAGATTCACCACATAAGCCAAACATCTTAGATGGAGATATTTCCCCCCTAAAACAAGTAGTTTATCACCATTGTTAACCTTTCTTTTCATATAATCTAGTGCAACCTTGTTGGCAGATGCATTATCAATTGAAATGGTCAAAACTTTCCTAATTGACCACTCTTGCAAACAATTTTCAAGAAGCTTTCCCTATTGTTATCCCTTGATGATTTGGAATGACACAAAAATTAAGAATCCTCTTATGCATAGTCCAATTACCATCAATGAAATGGGCTGTTAGCACCATGTAATTGATGTTTTGGATTGAAGTCCATGTGTCAGTTGTCAAACTAACACAATGATTCTTAAGTTCTGTTTTTAACAAGGTTGTCAAAACCGGACCGGTCATCGAACCGGTGAAGCTACCGGTTCAATAGTTCACTGGTCGGACCAGTGGTCGAACCGGTCGAACCGGTTTAATTAATATATAATTTTTTTTATTTTATATATACAATATATAATTTTATATATTTTTATCATTAATTTTATAGTCCATAATGACATTTTTTTAAATAAATAAACAATGTTATAATTTTATATAATGACAATTTTTCGAAAAATAAACTTTTTTGGGCATGAGAAACAATATAAAGAAAAAAATAATGAGAACAAAAATAATGACATTTATAGTGTATAATGACATTTTATAGTGTATAATTTTATATAATGACATTTTTTTAATAAATAAACTTTTTTGGGCATGAGAAACAATAATTTGTATTGGCTTTATACCTTTTGCCCAACAACCCATTCTTTTTGCAATGTATGGTCAAGATACAATTATTTACTTGTATATAAGGCCCACTATGGCCCAATTTCAGCAATCATAAATGGCAACATCCCACATAGGAAAAGAAAGCAAAGGAACCCAAGTATTTAAGTGATTACACAAGATAATCTATTCACAGCCACAAGCCTACAGTCCGGACCGCTGAGCCGCTCGGACCGTCTCCGGTTCGGCGGTTATTCCGGTTTTGAACCGGTTCAACCGGTTTTTAGCCGGTTTTGAAGAATGACGGTTCCTAACAGCAAACCGGACCGGTGTATTGACCGGTTCCCGGTTTAACCGGTCGAACCGGCCTGTCCGGTCCGGTTTTGATAACATTGGTTTTTAAAGCTTCTTTCTTAGCATTGTACATACTTAAGAAAGACTTCACCATAACGTTCCTACAAGGAATTTGCTACTTAGGAACAGCTACGACACAAAATCTCGTAAAACCTTTCTTTTGAATTGCAGAAAATGGCATTTCATTAATCAAAATCATTTCAACAGCAGTATTAGTGCAATTTTCTTGTGTCCAACGTGTACTTTACCCTATAAATCCACGGCAAAATGTTTCTGACCAGCTCTTAAATTTCTAGCACTACCCGGATAACTATCACAATGCAATTCAAGGTGTTTTTAGAGAGTACTAGTCCCATTCCTAGTTGAGTTGCAAGCTAGATCAGATTCGCAATACTTACATTCAACTCGGGTAGTTTTTCCAACTTCACCTTCACACCCTCTTCATTCGCAACCATCAGTGGCTAATGGACGATTTTGAAGTGGTCCCACACCCACGACCTCTTCTTCTTTCGTTCTGAAGCCTCCCGTAATATTCATTTCTTTTGTGGGTGGGAGTTCTTTGAATTAGGGTTATGTTTCTTCTCTTTTGAGGTGCCAGTTTCTTTACACAGGTTTGAGCTTTGACTGTGGCTACTCTTTTCAGATTCTGAAGCCATGAGCAATTGAGAATCCAAGGAATGAAGGAAGAAGAGTTTTAGGGTTCAAACTTTGAAGCTCAATATCAAAACTCAAATCGATTTAGGGTTTTAAATTTCAAATGAAAAAGGGATTTGTCGAACTATGATGGAGTTTAGGATTAATTGAGGGTTTGGACGTCGAAAATTGAATCGAAATTGATGAAATCTCAAATATGTTCTTCGATTAATTGATTTTGGCGATTTGCAATTTGGGGATGGAGAAGAAGAAAGGTTTCTCGACTTTTGGGAGAGGAAAAACAAAAAATTAAAAAATGAATGAAGAAGGGAATATGAGAGGATCTGACTAAGGTTAATTTTCATTTGCCTACAATCAACTAACTAAGGTTAGTTTTATACATGTAGTAGACAACTGAGTACTAGACAATGGTTATGTATAAATACACCAACGGTTCCTCGGATTTTTTCAAGAATTGTGAAATGAAAACCGGAAAGCCGAACTAAAAAATGAAGACAAAAAACCGAACCGAGAAAAACCTGCCACTCACATGAATAACCGGATCGAACCGACTTATTTCGGTTCGGTCCGGTTCGGTTTGCCAATTTCCAGTTTGAAAATCCTACCCCTAAAACCCAGAACTTGCAATCAATAAATAATGGGAAAATAACGAGAAAATTATTCATATGTTTTGTGTTGCCATACGAAAAACTACGAACTGTTCTTTTTTCCTTAAACCAATTGGTTACCAAAGCTGGACTTTTTCTTTCACTTCGCCCTCCGGTTAAATTTGAGGTGGTTTGGGGACAAAAGGCTAATTTTCAAGGTTATTTTAGTCATCACACTTTGACCAGTAGATGGTCTTCTTAGAAAAGTAAGGTCTGCAAATATTCAGCGAATATTCGATGGTTGTTTCTCCAGTGGAACATCAACAAAGATTGCCGGTAGTTTGAGGTTTTTCGAGACTAGAGCATTTGCTATCAAACCAAAAAATCATATCATGAAATTGAAGGTGCGAATATGTAGACAAATCCCTATCTTGATTGAGTTTGGATTGATATCGAAGGACTGATAAACCTCAACTCATCTCTATATATTCCACCCAGATGCATACAGTACAATAGTTTCGATTCATTTTGGTTCCGAAAGGTGTCAGCTTTCTCATTATCATACATCACATTTTACACATAACAAATGAAATACTATGAAAAGAGATTTAAATGCCCACAAGATATATTTCAACCAGCCTGTGTATTAATTAAGATTTAATTTCTGATATTCAGAGAAGTACAGATTCCAGATTTCTTTCCCTGTGAATGAATTACAATGTTATATCAGTTCAAATTCAATACTACAAGCGTTAGATCACCTAAAACTAGGACTGTAAGATAAACGGCAGATGATAATGTACCGATGTACGATGCGTAATGCTGAATTTCCCGTTACAAAAGCAAATGATGTTACAGGTAATCACTCCCCTTTCTTCAAAAAAAGACGGGAGGAATCGTAAAAGAACAAGCTTTATTCATATATCCGCTTCCTCTTCAAAAGGGTCGGCAACAATAAAATCGACCCGATGAGGAACAGTACTACCAATGTCTTGAAGTCGTATAGATCTTTCACCGACTTCAGTTCTCCAAGAGCAAGCCCAGCCTAACAGAAATAAAATTAACAAACACAAAAGTCACATCAAGTGCGTGGATCACATAAATTTACTACACGAACCTAGAAACAGCTTGATGAAAACAGATAAAAAATTGATCTTACTCTAACAGTAATATAGGAAGCTGGAATGAGGCCAACAACAGTTGCCAGAAAGAAAATATGAAATGGAATGTCCATAATTGGCGATGCCAAATTGATGAACAGGTTTGGCAATGTCGGTGTTACTCTCAGAAAGAGCATGTAATTCAACAATTTCTCTCTCCTCTTTGCTATCTGAAAACAAAAATACACTATTACACTCCCATTGTTCTCCAAATGTTCAGAAAAAAAAAAAAGAAAGAAAGAAAGAAAAACAATAAGACGGAAAAAAGGGTACCTCAGCCTGGAAAAATCTGAGTTTTTCAGGCCACAGCCAGTTGACAATGGGTCTGCCAATGAGTTTGGACAGAAAATAGCAGGAAGATGCCCCGGCAGTTGCGTTGAAGACAACCAAGAAAAGACCTCTTACGACTCCAAAAAGTGCCCCGGCTAATAAGGACATGAAAATAGTGCCGGGGATCATGAATGTCTGCATGAATATGTATGTCGAGCAGTAACCAAGAATGAACTTTGCTGGGTACACTTGGGCATATGTAGCGAGATGATCCCTAAAGCATAGTGGAAAGTGCAAACAAATTAAATCTGTAAAGGGGAATAAAGAAGAGAGAATGGAGTACTTAGCTTCAACTAGACGTGATTTATTCCATGCATTCCAAATCAATTTAATGAACCTTTATCCAGTTATTATATCATATCTTCTGCTGCTTAACTTACTCTCTATCCACCATAATACAAAGCTTCAATTTCCAGAAAACAATAAAATTTTTGAAAGCAGTTCTGAAGAACAGTACAGGGTCGGTTCAGCTTACACCATTCATCCATACATTAGACGATTGAGACATTCATAACATAGGGTTCATAAAAAATGTCTGTATTTTGCTCCCAAACAGAACATAAAGCTGAAAACTTGCATCAGTTAGTGTAACTACCTAGCTTATAAATCTAACCAGCATAAAAGCATAAATCGAAGATTCTTCTTAAGACAACCTGAAAGCCCAAAATATCATAAAAACTTGCTACCGAGCATTAGAAAATGCAATATACAACTCCAAGCCTAAGAAATCACGCAGGATCCTAGAAAACATATCAAACGTCGAATCAAATGCTCATTGGATGACTATACAATACTTCAAGTCTTCAACTAGTACACATACAAATGAAGCCACACGAGATTGCGGTAATTAAATGATTGCAGCACCAAAACACTAGGTATATAAATAGAGTTCCAAGAAAGACCAAAAATTCATTATTCAAAAAACAAAAATACAGATTTTAAGATCCCAAAATCTTAAAATAAAATAAGAATGGCCGAAAGAATTGAGAGTGGTTACTTGAGCAATCGAAGATCCGCGAGGTTACGAGGCAGCTTCAACATCTCATACTCGGCAGCGGGCATAGTGAGGTAAATGCACAGCAAACCGGTGAAGAACACCAAAAACACCCCGAGAGCCGCCGCAAATTCCCACCGCGAGAGCGGGAACTTCTCCGCCTTCAGCTTCTTCCCCGACGGCGACTCATCGTTGTTCTCCTCATCCCTGTCCAACAGCCGGCTGCCGGTTTCCACCACCACATTCCGCGGCGCCGCCATGCGATTGAGGCGGTGAAAACGACGGCTTGCCGATTTGCAGGGCGCTGTTGGATGGGAAGCACTGAAATTTTCGATCTCAATTGCTACTAAACAAGCTAAAACGAAAATGGAGCTCGGCCGATCGCCTCGGGCATCGGGATACTATCGAATTTAAAGCAATGAGGATGAAGGAGCATTAAATGCCCGAAAATTGAAATAAAATTTCAAGAAACCAAATCCAGAGGTGAAGCTATCGAAAACAGAGAAAATCTCCAAGCTACGGGATATGGAAATGGGGTTTGAAATTGATCGGCGATTGATTGAATTAGGTGAAGGCAGGCGAAAAGGGATCGATGAAGAAATTTGGGGGTCGACGAAGAATTAAAACCCTAGAAATAGGAGACGAGCTGTGAACTCCGAAAATCTTCTCTGTGAGAGAAGCACGGACACAAAAGTCAAAAAATGAGGGTTGAAATATTTCATGGTCTTTCCTTGTAGATTTTACCTTCATCCATGTTACTACTAGACATTGCCACGGTCACCTAGTCGGCCGACCCGACCCAGAACCGACATGAGTCCCACCTGGTCAGACCCATGGTCAACGGGTCTAGGCCCGTGCTCGGATTTAAATCAGGACGGTTCAGAGTAGGGTATTTGTAACATTTTACTTGTCGTGTTACGTCGGATTAGGTCGGCCAAAGAAATCAACTGCCGATTTTTATTCAATTTTTTTTAGGACAGGTCCCGAATCCAAGTTGTGTAGTACAAGTGGGTTCAGGGTACGCCATATTATTATTTTTCTTGAGAACATTTTAGTTTTGTAGTACTTTGATGCGCAAATTCTCTTGAACAGGGTTGAACAAGCAATCTCCATGTACTCCTACCAACTTGGAGCTCCAGCGACTTGCAATGCACCAGGAGGACCTCCTGATGTAAAGAAGAATTTATGGCACCAGCCTATAGGGTTTATCGTTTTTTCTAATTTTTTCTCTAGCCGAATGTCTCCGACACTCAAGATAGTATATATTTGACGGAGTATATCGATTATAAGTGACAATATTAAGTGTATGTAATGTGTCAGATAAAGGAACCTGGTTACCCTTAAATACCTAGTTAGGAAATAAATCATCCCGTATTTTTTTCCTAACTCACCGCGTCTCTAGGATCAACATACTTCTTAGTAAGATACACTTTCCATCCATGAAAGATTATCTCCCCTCATAACACAAGATTCTTTGGTTCCCAGATCGTAACTGTGACCTCTATACCTTCCTACCGCTGGTGGTTCCTAAGTCGCAACCACGACCTCCACCTCACGACCTACGAGCTATGAGATCTCATCGAGTATCCAGGCTCCCTAGGTTCTCCGACCTTCGAGCTGCCCAAACTAGACATGTATGTTCTCTGAGCTGCCTAGGCGAGCTCCCAGACATAAATATACTTTGGAAATGGTTTGAGCTCTCTTGAACCAACCACGACCAAGTTAACTATTCGGATCGGTAAACCGAGCTATTATGGATGTTATATCATACTTGGTGTCAGGTTTATACAAACATGTGCAAATGTTACTCAATATTACCAATATTTTATTCATTTTTATTTTTCTCTTTTTTTTTGAGATTTTTTTTTTTTTATATGTCCTCTAGTGTCCATATTCTTATACTTTGAATTTATTCAACATGTTGTAAACCTCACTTTCATTTCAAAAATTATCAATTCAAGTCAACTCCATTGATAAATTTGGGAAATAAAATATGCATTAGACTTCTATCAATGTTCATTTCACCAAAAAAATAAACTCTAAGTGATGTGTTAAATACATATTTGCACCTTTAACTAGAAAGTGCTTCCTTTTATCTTTTAATTCATGTGCCAAAATATTACACACTGCCATGAATTTTTAATTGGACTGAATTTCAAAATCCAAAAGCATAATTCAATTCTAGTCATTATTTTTGTCACATGCATCTGATCCTGGGACATTCCTATTATGGCAAAAATGACCTATTTTGAGATGAAATCTCCTTTTATTTCCTAAAAAAGAGGAAAGAAAAAAGCTCAATTCAAAACCTGAAAATGTACAATACATATAGAACTCACTGTTCCAATAATAATCCTATATGAATATATATATATGAACTCCAGCTATAAGTCTGGAAAACATTCAAGTACATGGCTCATATGAGTTTGATCATCAGCACCATGATCAACAAGCCCATCATTGTGGGATGATGAGATCAGCAAGGGCGTGTTTGGCTGCACGACAAACGACGACGGCCCGATTACTTGAGACTCAAGCAACCTGCAGTCAAAGCTCTTCCAATACTCCCCTACATACTGATGATTATTATTATTAGCACCAATATTATTACTAAAATCTCCCTTGTCGCTATCCTCGAAAATGTTGTTCTCATTCGCGGCAAAACCCTTGGAGCTGATGGAGGGGCTGTCGAGGTTCGGGAGCTCCACTAAGGGATTTCGAAGCGGATTGAATAAGCTGGTCGTGCCTTGATTGAGGAGGTTGAGGTAATTATTGTGTGTTAGAGAAGTGGTGGTGGGGCCCGGTAATGTCGTCGAAGGTTGTCTGAAATCCAATCGGGCGTAAGAACTCATGTTATTGTTCCAATTATTAGCATCCAAGCCTTGTTTGTGGTTTGGGGTCGGCTTCTTGAACGCCCGACAGACGACCCATCCTTCTTCCTGTTACATACAAGAGAAAAAAATCCGAAGTTGAATATACAACGAATTCAACCGTGAATTTGTAGATAATTCGTAGCAACGGATTAGATCGATACAAACATGTTTGTGGCAGAAAATAAGTAGCAAATTAACTAACTATATATAGNAAAAAAAAAGGGATGAAAATGGTAGCTTAATTACTTAATTAAACATTTGAAGAGTTAATAAGTAGCAGGTTGAAATACTTTTTCTTACAACACACTAAGTAACAGTTTGTAATATAATTTAATTTTTCATAACTACAATCAATTTATTTTCGAACATTTTGTATAACCCGTCAATATTCCACTGAGCTGGTCAAATCAACTTATTCAATCAGCGAGTTGAATCATGCATCTATGAGTTAATCGCTATACGCTTAGTGCCAAACAAAACCAAATACTTCTGGCTGAATCGAATTCATCAAGACTTTCTTGCCTTAAGTAATAATGAACACTACGATCTTCCAAATGACACTATCATGGGACTTTTCACGTGTTAGTTTGTAGCCTCAAAACCTAGCAACTAACGCAAAATACAGTGTGAAAAGGGTTTCTTAAACATGCATCCAAACTTCCATAGCACTTGCACAAAATTAATGACCTTAATTTCAAATTAATTAACATAATTACCCCCAATTAAATATTCTTCTTTATTTATTTATTTATTATTTTATACAGTTTGAAAAATTCATGTCCATTTTTTTCCCTGGTTTCTCATCTATTGTGATTTTCGACCTCACAAAGTGCCTTTGCAAAGTTACGGCTGTCATGTTCCAAATCATTACAGCAGACACAATCATTCTACACACATTAAAAAAAAAAGAAAAAAAAAACAATGAATATTTTCCTAGTCCAAACTTCAAACCAAAGATGTCTAACTGTATAAAAACCCCAAAAACAAATAATCTGTTTTTTGATCTTGATTTGAGACCTAACGACATTATTCCAAGTTTTAATAATAAATATGTATAAATGCCAATGTTATTCATTACCTGAGGAGGTTCGTGTTCGGATGTTTGAATCCGATATTCGTGCATTATCCAGTCGGTTTTTCTCCCGTTAGGCGCCCGACCTCTGTAGAAAACCAACGTTTTTCTCATCCCTATGAGTTTGTCCTTTGAGAGCACGGCCTTATCCCGGCCCGTTGCCTTCCAAAAGCCCGCGGCCGTGGCCCGATTAGTCCGCGAGCCCGTTGGGTACTTCCTGTCCTTGTGGCTGAAAAAGTACCACTCCTTTTGTTCTTCGTATCCCAATTTGCACCTATCTGTTAATAAAAATTATATCAAAATATGACATATATAAGATCAGCCATAAAATAATATTTATCTAGCTAGTATGCGTTTTGCTATAACAATCGTGCAAGTGAAAAATTGCAATTTTAATTATTGAATCTGCCGTTTCGAAAAAAAAAAAAAAATTGCAATTTTAGTCGTGTAACAGATATTGCTTATATAAGAAAGTACCTTCAATATCCCATGGCTCAATTCTGTAGAGATCAATGTCAATAATGACATCAAGATGAATCTTGAGAGAGTTGACCTTTCTCGTGAGATAATAGCCGACGAGTTCTTCATCGGTAGGGTGAAATCGAAAGCCAGGTGGCACGCTCGACTCCACGATATTCTCCATTTCTTCTTCTTGATGATGATCTCTTTGAACTAGTAATAAATTTTTGATCCTATGTATGATGGAAAATGCAAAAATGAATACAAGCTATATAAAAATTTTGAAAATCTGAAGAGAAACTATATTATATATATTGAACTTATTTCACTTGGAAGCTCAATTGGAGCATTTGCTATGAGAGAGATTTTTTCTCTGTGCTATTTGTAAAGCTACTTTTCAAGAAAAAAGAGTGAAATTCACACTACTGTGTATGTGTTTCTGTGAAATTTGTCATGATGATTCATATTCATATCCATTCGTGAGATAAAAATATAAAATGATGAAGAATATTGGTCCCAATAGCATGTGTTATAGTTTTTTTTAGGAATTTTTTTTTTAAAAAAAAAAAGAAAAAAGAAAAAACAAAAATTGTGTTTGTGTGAGGAGAAAACTTAAAGGGCAGATCATATAAGCTTATACAAAACATAGGCCAATTAGTAATCCTTGTAAGCTGCAATGTACAGTAGCAGTTAAAGGCAAAAGTTTATTTAACACAGAAGTAGTAACAATATATTTATTGGCAGCAGTAAAAAATTGACCCTTCTATTATTTTAATAATAATAAAAAAAATATTTAGAGACATGGGCATGTTCGTTTCTTTGAGTGCATTCCACTCCATGATTTCCTGTTGGGCATGGGGTTTTTTTCACACCCACCCTAGTACCCTTCTTCTTCCATTATTTATACATATATTTTTTAAAAAAATTGTTATGAAAAAAAGAAAAAAAAAAAAGAGCATCATTCACAATAAAATAATATATATATAGAGTAACTTTGGCTTTTTATTCTTCTGTGAATTGAAATGTTTTTGCAGATAATTGAAAAAGGCTCTCAGGTTTCAACTAAACCTGATTAATTCAATAATTGATGAGTGTTCCAAAATTAATAATTAAAGCAAAGAACAATATGCAGGTACATATATACACATCTGTAGACACAATCACACAAGATATGGAGAACAAAACAATTAAGTCAAGCTCCATGCATGCATTGAATCATATTTTTCAATAAATATTACAATATATTTCCATTAGACCTAGACGTCAGATGCAGATAAGCCTTTTCAACTCATAAAGTTAAATTTCAGCATGAAATTTAATATTTTTTTGACATTTGATACTTTTCAATAAAAACATAATAATTTCACTTCATTCTTTAGAAAAACAAAAAACAAAAATACTACTATTCGATCGACTTTTTGTATATATTCAAGAAAATACTAACCAGAGAGTCAACTTCGTGTTCAATTGATATGTTGTGTTCTTGATGAAATTCCACAGAGAAAGATAAAAATGGTGTTTCTTATATATGTGTCTGTGTGTTACTAATGAGAGTTTGATGACAACACGAAAAAGGCAATTGCTTTTAAGTTATTGTCTAACGATATAGACCAAAAGGTATTAAGGCAAAGTAATGTATTTATATGCATAGACTAAATAATAAGATTGTGGGGGTAAAATTATAATAGAAATAAATAATATAAAATAAAATAAAATAAAATGGGTATTGATTACGCGTGAAGTGGGGTGGCAGATATTGGGATGAAAGATTTGTTTGGACGGCGTGACACAAATTTTTCACGCCTCTTACTCTACCTCCACCCATGGCCATGTTGTATATAACTATTTATATTAACTTGTATTAATTTACAAGTAGCTAGGTTTATAATTACCTTTTACCATATGGTACATTCGTGTTTATTGCTTTCCGCGTTGTAAAAAAAATTGTCAAAAGATGATGTAATGTACTAATGTCTGACTTAGCAGACGACTCGAGTCCTTTTACCTTTTTGATTTTAAATCTTGGAGCTAGATGGATTGGGGGGCCCACATATAGAGTTGTCAGGTTTTTAACCCGGCTCGTGGTGTGGCTCTGACTTGTTCGACTTTTGAATTGGTTACCTGAACAAAGCCGAGCCATTGGACGGAATCCGGTTAGTATGAGCCTGGCCGTCCTAGCTAGCCCAATGTTTTTTATACTATTTTTCAAAAGATATGTTGGAATTGAGCCATATTTTTTTTTTTTTTTTGTTGGTTACTATAGTAAATTAATTGCTTGGCATCAAATTATTAATTCCGAGTCATATTTTGGAATCAAGAGAAATTCGTCAAGTGGAATATTCTCCGAATCTAAAGGAAATTTAAATTTATTTTATTTTTCATTCTATGCTTTATTTAATTAAGAACTAAATTCGTATAACTATTTTGTAGGAAATCAAGAGGGATTCCTTATCATATTAAAGAATGATGGCACTTACCCATTTAAGAGGAAGTGACACACTGATTTTCCAAATGTGTTGAAACTTGCGGATAGGGCAAGAAGCAACTTACCATATGCGCGAAGATAGATGATCGCAACAAATGGAATGATTGAAGTCAAATAAGGAAAGCAACTGACTGGATGAACTTTCCTTATGGAGCATCATATATGAATGCTTGCACATATCATCTTTACACTTAAATCTTGAGATTATATTTTATTGAGAGTGCTATGCAAGTTGAGTATTGAGCGGCTGACCACAATGGATATTGTTTTTATTTTTATTGGGTAGCCGAATTTGGGAGGCTGTTCTCTGATTTGAACGTGGTTTAATATTTGAACATTCATGGTGTTTGGATAGAGCACCCTTATACAGTGTCTGGGATTCATGTCGTAGAAGTCCACAACGAGTGGCTCGAAAAAGTAGTTGAGTCAAGTGATTACAACGTAGGTTAGGAAGATGGAGTCTTCTGTGTAATCCTTAATTGTAATGGACCAATCACTTGCTGCAATGAAAGATTTCTGAAGGGACAGGTGGATGCTCTCTTGAAGGTTCAATTTAGTTTGAATTGCTTCCGCATTAGAGTGAACGTTCATTGTTTATTTGTTAAGCCGCAATTTTGTAACTCTCCCAAAATTTCAGTTACACTTGATTTTCATGTTGGGTAGCGATATGTTTGGGTGGGAACCCATTTTCACAACTCAATCGATTTATAAACGATATTTTTATTGGAATAGAAGAGTACTTGTCTCAAGATTATATGACTTTACAAGATTCTGAATAATATTATTGGAGAGAACTTAATTCGGTGGATTTCTAGAATTTCTCTAGATTCATATGAATGAGCATCCATAAAATAAGATATTGAGTTTTTGGGAAATAAGAAAAGTACAAAACCAAATCATGTTATATATATTTTTCTTGATTTCAATAATTTGATGTTATACGAAAGGTATCACATAATACATTCGAATTACCAAAATTGCATGGAATACATCACACCAATAGAATAAAATTAACAAGATATAATATCTTTGTGATTATTAAATCAAGCAAAATGGTTACATTAAATAAGGTCGTCGGCCGTTGTGTGTAGCCCTCAGCCGAGGGAAACCGATGTTCTGCTGAAGAATCCATCTCACGCACCCTGTTATAATCTTTGGAGGTACTGTCCGCTCGGTTGCACCGCCGATCAGTCGGGCCACTCAAATGCGAGCAACCTAGGGTGGGCCTCCTTGGTTCCTAGTCTCGAGCTCTTCGGTGTCTTCTTGGCGGCTCCTTTTTCTTTTCCTGGCACTGAAGTTCCTCAGAGTCTAGATCTGGATCGAGAACGACCTTCTTACTAGATCCGACTAGGTGGTTCGAGTGACCGCAATTTTTGGGTTTGAGTTCTAGTTTTGTAGCTCTATTTGGGTTCGTTGATGTGGTGTGACTCGGTTGTCAGTTTAAGTTGTCGTGTGGTACACCTACTCAGAGTAGGGGAGATGTTATTCTATTTGTTTATTAGGTGTGCGTCATTTTTTGTTTTTTTTTGTTTTTGATTTTGTCAAGTCTAGTGGCCTCTGGCATTTAGCCTCCTTCATGGAGCTCTTGTCTCATTCATGGAGTTGTGTTGTGCATGTTCTTTTATCTCCTTGTTGGAGTTTGTACCCCTTGGATGTCATTCCGAGGAGGTAAGTCGAGACTTTCTAGTTCCTTTGGTGTCAATTGACAACTGATTGTACTATTTCGAGTTTTCTAGCTATTATTAGGGAAAAAAAACTTGAATTTTCTAATAAACAAAACATTGGACATCTGAACTATTATCTTAATAATGCATTATCAACTTGTCAATATTAGTTAGACAACTGGCTGAATTTGATTGGTTTTACAAACAATATTTAATTATCCCAAGGTTAAGAGCATCTCCAATGGTCTTTGGATTGACCTATTTTGTTGCCATATGGCACAAAGAAATCTATGTGGCGTAAAATATTTTAGAAGTCTTTCTAGATATAAAAGTAGTTTTAGACAGCGTCTATTATATATATATATATATATTATTTATTCAACTTCTCTCTTTTTTTTCAACCAATTATAATTATACACATGTTAAATTAAATCATCTTTAATATTAGTTATTGGAGACACAATTTCTTATCTTCTTCCTTCATGCCAAGCAGCACAAATGAACAATATTTATACTATTAGAGACGCTCTAAGTGGTTGCAATTTTTTCTCTCTAAAACAGAAGTCGATAAATAAATCTAACCAAAACTTCTCTCGCAAGCTCGTCGTTCTCCAGGCCCAGTTCCCGCGAGTCAATGACATGAAGATCAATTTTCTTACTTCAAAAAAGGATTAAGCTCCCATCAAAAATCTATATTTCTCCTCCCACGCTCCTTCCTCGCCTCACCTCACGGGCCACACCTCTTGACCATAAATTGGAATCGGCATCTTCCTCCAGCAGTTATTCGAGGAAAAATATTGTGGGTGTTGGTCCCCCTTCACCCTCTTTCTTCGAGTTTGGGCTTAGATCTGGTTCAATTTTCTTGGATCTATATAGCCGTTGGCCATTTGGAGTTTTAGGGTTTTCTGATCTATAAAGTGAAATTTGATTTGTAGTCATTACTTCTTGGAGGGGAATGACTAATTTTTTTGTGTGTTTGTGTTTGCTGGAGCTGACCATGGAGAGCTTATCAGATGGTTGTCTTTGCCTCAGTGGCTTGTGATGGTGATAACGACGGTATGTCAGACGGTAGGAATGGATGGCTTTATTCTTTTTCTTTATTACAACGCGTTTGTATTTTTCTAGGCGTTGTTCAAAATTAGTTTGTGTTGTTCTTTTTGTATTTAGTTTTTGGATCTTCCTTGGGCAGTGCTCGTGTCTTCCATTAAGGGAGTCTTCACACCTCACAATAAGGGAGTGTTGCGACTAGTTTTGTGTTTGGTGTGTTTGCCTTGGCATGGATCCCTTGTATGAGCCTTTTCTTCACCTTAATTTGTGTTACTAAACACAAAGGTGGCATTATCAGTGAGTAAGCGATTTATATATCACAACTAATATAGCTCGGTAGACCTGCTTCAAGCAATTAGCTCGGTAGACCGATCTCAAGGAGTTAGCTCGGGTAAGTGGTTGTTTGCTTGTAGCTCGATGGTGACGAATAGACCTACAAATCAGGTATAAAGACTTGAGAGTCCTGAAGCTCGAAGGTGATGGTCTTAAGACTTTGTAGTTTGGTAAGGACGTAGGGAATGTTGGATAGCTTGTAAGACTATAGTCGACCTCTTGAAGCGCCTCTCCCCGGCATCTTACAGCAACACGTAAGGGTTGTTCCAGGTGGTATACCTCCGATGCTCAAAACATTTTATCTGGCTTTTCAATACTCATACATAATTATCACCTTTCATATTCCGAGAACTAATTTGAGCGTCAGAGGTCTACCGTCAAGAGCAACTCTAACGTGTTGTACGTCCACGAAGGTCATTTCAAGCTGATAAACCGATTCGAAAACATCCTATTTAATGTATCACTCAGAACAACTTGGCATACCGGCCTGAGCAAGTAGCTCGAATGGGCTAGTCTGGGGGAGCTCTCGCCATATTAAAGATAAGTTACTTGGTCAAGTAGCTCGTATGCGCGCTTAAGGTACCAGACGACCTGAAAAGATATGACTTGGGGGTGCTGACCTCTAGGAACCCAGCAAAGTAGCTGGCCTTGAGGTAATGAGGTCGGGTGGTCTGAGGACAGATAGACCTCAGGGAGAGGTTTGGTTAGATCTCAAGACAAGGTCAGGATCGTCCTTGGATAGGCCACAACAAACAGAAGGTCAGAGTGATGACCTAGAAATCCATGGGCTAAAACAATAAATGGAGAAAGAATCCTAGTTAGAAGGAAAGAATCGCGCATTTAAAAACTTTTGCCTAGATAGAGACTGTTAGAGTAGTATACCCAGCGTTCCAATTGGATTGGATGTATTCTACTTGTAAATACAATCTATTGGAATTATATTAATTAAAAGGCATTACTTTATCTTAAGAGTAAGCATTTATCCTATATTTACACTTAAGATAAAATCCCTAGATCACATATAGTTATAA